ATAAATATTAATTATATAATATTTATATAATAAAAATATTTTAAAAAATCAATAGGTTTCTGTAAAGCTAGCATAATCCAAATTAGCAGATTTATCCATATCCTATTATACATGAGTTCTAATTTGTCTGTAAGGTGACAAACTCACAGCCTTCCAGATAATTCTGTTCAAGTATTATTTTCTAGAAGTTATATCTGATTTTTCGTCATGTTACAAATATATGATGATTGTCCAGAATGCCCTTATATAGACTGTCTTTTAAACAAGCACAAACCCTATGATTATACCACTTGCCGACCAACTTACAGTCGTTATACTATCTGAAGATATCTGCAACATGTACAATGGCAGTAACATTTCACCTTGTTTGCCAAAGTGCACAAACGACATATCGTCTCTAGTAAGCACAGGATTCCTTTAAGGGGTCTTCCTACTGAGATTCCATATTTTTGGAGGTCTAGCTCGCATAGGTACCATACCCATAAATCCTACTTTTAAAGTAGTTAACTTCAGGCAACCTATACTCACTGCCGCTGACTTTCATTAACGTTCTGAATGCATTTCGGCTTATTTGTATATATGCCACCAAGGTTTTTAATAAAACCAGACTCACTTCACCCACAGAGGAACTATAAAAATGATCATTGGCTATACAAATTTGCTGTATTTTTTGCAGTGGTATTCTCTGTACGTTCGACTAATGTCTTCCTACTAGCTACTGTCTAATATTAGGCCACTTGTGGCTTATTTTTCCAATATAGTAGTGGATACCACTCTTTACTTACCCTAGTATCGGAGGTAGCACCCTTGTAATGTTAGACAAACAATAGCAATTAAATCAAATATTAAAAAATAGCACAAATTCAAACAGAAGGAACTAGCCTAACCCAGAATTCAGCCAATTTTCACTCCAAAACTATTTCTATAATGCCATACAAGCTTAGTGGCTGTTTTCACGCTTCTACTTTTAACAGGGACGTGACCCCCAAACCTGTTTGTCTGTAAACCCACTCTGTTAGTTACATTTTTATGCAACTATGAACAGTGATAACTACATGGACTGCAACTTCCCATTGCTTTAATGCTATTTGTAACTTAATTCAAAGTGTTCTCACAGATGTAGAGTTCAGGGCACAGGGGCATAGGGAATGCCTCAAGTCCAAAGGGCATGCCCTTGTCATGTGATGTTTAAAGTTATTTTAATTGGCTAATAGGTTCAGGTAAACTAGAACCGTAGATACTAAATTAACATGTAAGATTTTTAAACTATGTGTTAATCATATGATTTAAAAAGGGCATGCCCATGGGCATGAGGGGTATGCCTTAGCTCAGGGGCATGCCCAATTTTTTTCCCATGCCCTGAACCCTACACAGATGACTCTAACCCTCTAAACTGGAAAAAGAAAGTTAGTGATTCTGGCTGCAACTTCCTATTATAAACAAGATTGCTGCTTCGTAAGCTCAGGATATCCTTTTAGAGAGAATTCCAATCCTAGTGTGTCAAATTTTATCGATCCATAGGTATTGCTGTCTTTCTAGCTTGCTTTGTATTGTCACTTTGTTCTACTTTATATACTTATGAATGGGATACTTTTGTAGTGGTTTAGTTTTGTTTCATCATTCCTACCTGGTGGTTTTGCTCTCGAGAACCACAAACTCTGCTAGAAGGTGCAGTAGACTCTTTATAAAGAACAGTAACACTAACTTGTAGGTTTTTCCAATAGTACATTTGCTACTTACATATAAAAGCTGCTTCCCTATAGTGGTAAAACCACCATGTGCAACAATCACCTTCACAAGAAACTCAGATTCAGCCTGTTTCAAATGTATATCTTCCAAAACTTTGCAAAAGTCTTGGTCTCAACCATAAAGGAAAGGTAAGTTTGACTATACATCTATTGGCGGTTTTTATCCCTTTCATTTATTTTTATAATTGGAAGTTCTAGGGACCAACCTTTTCCAAAAGACAAAATATCCAATGGCGCATGGATAACTACCTTAACCTTTTATTTCGATAACATATAAGTGGGTTCTGATACCAATTTCAAGATCCACTGAAATATTTTGCTAATTTCTAGTACCAATTGATTTCTTATAAAACAATTAGTAAACAAAGATTCCTTTTCTTTTTAAAAAACACAAACACTTTTAGAGCTCAAAGTAACTTGTAATAAACATCACAAGTCCTGAGAGTTATCATGTTGCATAAATCAAAATTACTGAGGCCGTTATTAAACAGTACCATTATGTTTCTAGAGCAATGCTCGAAGCAAAGTTACCACGCAACACCACTTCAAGTCCAAGGGCTAAACCACAAGGACGAGCACAAAACGTAAACAGGAAGTAAAAACCAGTTTGAGGTAAATAACCTAAAAAGTAAATGCAGAGATGGGTTGACGTCGATCTATTCTGCGAAACTGTTAAAAGCTAAATACAATATTACTATTTTATTTATTATAACAATATAAAATAAATAGATTTCATACTATATAAAAATATATAATATTATATTTAAAATTTAAAACAGAAATATTGTTCTTTATATGTAAATTGCTTATTTTTTTCAAATCAAAAAAAAAGTCAAAAAAATAAGTTCTTTTTTTTTTTTTTAACCCTATATTTATTAAATTATTTCTTAAAAATTATTATTATTATTTTATATTTTATTATATTTTAGATCTAAATTATTGTATTTTTTATTAATTTGTATTATTATTTGATTATTTTTTGTTAATAAATATATTTTTATTGTTTATAAACTGTTATTTATAACTTTTTTTTGTATAATACCATATTAGCAATAAGTTAACAAGTTGATAAATCAACTTTATTATAATTCTATAATTATAGAATTAAAATAAAAATTATTTTAAAAATGATTTGTTCTATTTCTATTGACTTTCTCCTATTATTTGCATAGTGACGTAACTAGGCGATTTACTCCATGTATTTAACATTTCTTTTGTGTAACATGTACAAGATCTTGTCCCAAACATGTCCTCGGCATTACTAATGTAATATATAGATGTTACGGAAAAAATTACTATAAAAAATTCTATTAATGTACATGTAACGATTTTGGACGAAACTTAATTCTTTTAGGGTTGGAAAATGAGACATGTTTTACGCAGAATGGTCATTTTTTATGTAGAGTGAAGACTAGAGCATTTAAAAGTTTCGTTCTAAGTAATTTATCATAGATTATATAGATTAAAAATTAATTATGTATATATATGTAGTAAGATTTAATATGTATTAAAAAATTACCAATGACATAATCCATTTGGGATAGTATACGTAACAGGTTTTCATAAAATTTTATTGGATAACGATAATTGTACATTATTGTCCGGAGAACTTGTGCCGAATTCCGGTTTTTGATGCATACCTTTATAAAAAAAAATAATATCAAGCTGTGTATAGTTTAGGACGTCCTAAATAGTCTGAACCAAACCGCTAGGACGAACGTACATAACTGATAAGTATACTCGGTGGACAAAAATGTATTCGGCTAGTGCTAAATTAAACTTTCAGGTGGTCAAATTATGACTACAGGAGAGTTGTCGTAATTTAATTACAAGATAGAAAAGTCATAATTAATGACTTAATTACGCCTGCACCTTTCCCAATGTTTGCACCTATAGGTCGAATAATGAACTCGATTAGGTAGCCATTGAAATTACGGACGTGTAACTAATTACCAATCAAATTGCAGCACAAATTTACGTCAAAAAAAAAAAAACTAGTTTTTTACTTGACGCCTTTTAAAAGCTTCGACTAGATAAGTAGATAAAGAAGATCTATACCAAAATTTTAGAATGAATTTTTTTTTTAAAGGCAATTTCTTAGCATTAGCGTTAGAGATAGTATGAAGTATTATACGATCTTTATTGATCACGTGAGAATGTGTTGAGGCAAATACAATGTATCCAATCGATAACGATATGCGCTTACTAACATTAAATCTTCAATTAGTAATTTTGGCCCAAACTATATGTGATATCGATCGTCTGATCTGCAAGAGCCAGTTCTAAACCATGGTATAAAAGCGGATATTCTCGTTCTTCGTTATACGTGAATACCGCAAATGTCAACGTCGTCAACCAAAGGAGTTCTCGGAAAAAGGTCATATTCTGAAAATGTCACTACTGGGGATAATGCTCCAGGCCAAATGCATCCTCGTAATAGATATAGGAACAGTCCTCCAGACTTTGCTGTCCTCGCGTTCAAATATTCTTCCTTTTACCCTTTGTGAGTATATTGCATTTTTCCCCTTTTACACAGAACAGTCTTGCCTAATGCTCTTTCTTAACCAAATATAAAGTGTACATTATACTAAGGAGGGAAAGCCATACATTGACTTTAAAAATCCTGAAGCTGTTAGGTACGTTGTCTTTTTTTTTCTACTAGCCATTATCAAATCATTCAACGCGAAAATTGATATTTTAGGGAGCTTACTTACTGCCTCCTACGCAATGATTTTAATCTCACACTAAGCATCCCATTAGACACGTTATGTCCACCGGTAAATTCCATTCATTAAACCTTTTAAGTTTTACCTTTAAATTCTACTGATATACTCGATTGATTCAGATTCCAAACAGGTATCTTCGTGATTTAGCTAATTCAGCTAATTTGAAGGTTCTTTAACTAGTTGATAAATGATTATATATTATTCAGATTAAATTATATTCATTGGGTCGAGGATCTGATATCAACTGAAACAAAGCAAGATCGATCTGTGTATGCAATAGATATGTAAGTCTGTAATAATTTATCTGATAAATTTTGAATTTCAGAATTTCTTATTTTCAACATTGTTTGTTAGTGGTACTGGTGCTTCTTGCATTTATCCTTTATTGGGCTGCACGCTGAATAAGAACTGGATGTTTTTGGCAACAGGTAATTTGGTATTCATTTTCAATTCTAAGATTATCGATCGCCTTAATATATATATATATATAATTTTTTTTTTTTTTATAAAAAATATATCTATTTAGATATTGATGAAAAATCCGTAGAGTATGCTGAAACAAATGTGTTAAGAAACAATTTAGATCACAGGATTACCGTGATTCACAACAAAACAGACAAAAAAATTATGTTGTCTGATGAAGTTTTATCCAATAATTCTATCAAGTTTAGTTTTACTTTGCTTCAGAACTGTTTCGAACTTTATTTACAATGCCTATATAAAGCGAGGCAAAGCCGATTTTTATATAAAGTTGTATAGAAATCGGTTTTTAATTTACGTGAGTAATGTACCCTTAATTTATGAAAATTTTGCATTCATATTAGGTTTGCATTCTGTATGTGTAATCCACCTTTTTACGAAAGTCAAGAGCAATATGAAAAAGGTGTTGAGATTAAGCATTCACCCCCTTTATCGGTAATAATCATGTTATATTGTCCGTAGAGTAAACAAAATGAATAACCCTATTTTTTTTTTACGTCAATAAATAGGTATGCACCGGTGCATCTCATGAAAAAATCACTGTAGGTGGAGAATTCCAATTTATTAAAGATATTTTGGAGGAAAGTTTGATTCTACGTAATAAAATTCGGTAGGTTCAAGATAATAATTATTAACTTGATAAAGACTTTAAAAAAAATCATTTTTTAAAGTAATCCTTGATACCAATTATAGTTGGTATACTTCTAAAATTGGACGGTTGGAAACAGTTAACAAAATTGTTCGTGAACTAAAAAAAAACAGAGTAAATGACATTTTTCTTTGTGCTATGCTTATAGTTCATAACTAATTTTATAAATACGTTATTCTGGTATTTTTAAGATCGACAATTATGTAGTTACAGAATTTTGTCAAGGTCAAACGCGAAGATGGGGGATCGGGTGGTCGTTTGGAACCCAACGACCATCGATGGTAATATAATAATTTAAGTTTTTGAAAGAATACTGAAGTTTACAGGCTTGAGAGGAACTAACTTTATTCCTTTTGTTTCAATTTCAGAATATTTCACATCCATCCTCTAAAAAGCTTCGTAAAGCTGCACCTCCTAAAAGTGAATTCTTCGTGATTTTATCAACAAACACAGATAATCTCAAAGAATTTCTCAAAAAGCTATTCGATCAATTGGAAATTGGAGGACAATGGAACGAAGATTCGTATACGTTTATTGGTAGCGCAAATATCAATACTTGGTCGCGTGCTGCTCGACGGCAAAAATTGATGAAAACAGATTGCCAAATAGAGTCATCAACCATAGCTTCTACGTCAACTGATGAATTTTTATTTGAGTTTACTTGTAATATTGAACCATGGAATGTTAGCATTAATAGTACGAAGGTTACATTTTCATGGACAAATGGCAAGGATCGAAGTATTTTTGAGCAATTTTACGGTCATGTCAAGAAAAAATTGGAGCAGGAGTTTTCCACCGACGAGTAATAATGATTACGTATGAGTCATCATATTATCTCTGGTGATCATTATCGTTTTAAAGTAGTTGTATATGATAGAAGACATATTTTCTGCGGTTTCACATTTTTTGTAAGTAAAATAGTAAAATTAGCCATTGTAAAGCTTTGTGTACATTTTAAAAAAGAAAAAAAAATCCGATAACTAGATGACGGATAATGAATTAATTTGATTGGCTTTCCCTTCGGTCTCGTTTCCGACTTGTGATTCTGAACTTAAGAATTAAGAATCTTAGTATGCGTTTTTATCTTTCACGAAATTTGCTTGCACAATTCGAGTCCAGCCAAAAATTATCTTACCGATAAGTACCCTAGCCATGGCTAGTGATGCAAATAGCTCAGCTGGCTCGGCTCATGACTAACACTGATCAAGCCAAGCCGTTTACAAGCCGATCAACCTCAAGCCGAGCCGTTACTCTAAGATACAAGCTTTCTTACATATAATTTCTCAACTTACGCAATTGAATTTATATAGCAATTTTTTTTTTTTTACAAAAATATAACCATTATTTATAATACCGTATGGTAAAAGGCTCTTCACAGACGAAACTTTAAGTGCTACTCTATGTAATAATATTTCACTTAAAGACAGTTTTAAAGTAGAAAATAGTAATGTATAGTAAAATATAAACGCTAAAGTTTATAATTAATTTACAGAAATTTCTATATACTTGAAACATTAGGTTTTTGAAGATACTTGGTAAATAAATTGTCAATGTCACAATGCTAGGTGAGTTTATTATTGGTTAATAATTATATAATATAATCCTATTGGCTCGCAGCTTCACGGTCAGCTTCAAAGTTTTGAGCTGAGCCGTTTTTAGAGCTGATGCTTTATTAGTAGGCTTGGAGTTGAGTTATTAACTAGCTTGGCTTAGTTGTTTGGATCGTGGCTTGGCTTAAGCCGTTTGCATCACTAGTCATAGTGAAAACATGTCAGGTTTAGTGATCTAAATTGTTAGTTGAAAAACCAACTAGTTAACAATTATTCAACTAATCGATTTGGAAAATGTTAAAACAACTAATCAATTAAATCATCAACTAGTTAAATTCTGAGATATCCGTTTATTTGGATTGGTTCATATTGATTTCTTTAGTTTGATTAATCAACGAATTTAATTACATGATAAAAAAAATCAATTAGTTGTAAACATTAGTTAGATTTATAGATCAAGAATTTTAGAAAATTTTAAAAAAAAAATTAAAAAGATTTTTTCATAATTTTTATTGAATATTTAAAATAATATTACATTATTTTTTTTTTTTTTGGTGTTAAGGTGACCTCTTTGGTCTTTTGACTTTTATTAATCACTTATCGGTATTGTGG